AACACAAACATTTATTTTTCATATTGCACCAGTACAGTTAATGAGCAACCTGTACTTGTGTGCTTGTTTGTTCTGTCTAAAATGCTTATTTTGGAATAAAGAGGATAATATAAAAAATATTTTTTGTCCGATTCATCGATTAATCGAAAAAATAATCGGCCGATTCATCGGTTTTTAAAATAATCCTTAGTTGCAGCCCTAGTATAGACATTAAAAATGCAGACTTCTGATTTAATAGTTCACAAGTAGACTGTCACTAACCCCCACTACAACAAGGGTGAGCAACAAGAGGTTAGTCCAAAAGAAACTCACTGGGGATATAATGCTCTATCTAAGCATATATAAATGGAAACTTTATTTGAAGGAAAGCATGGTAGAAAAAGGTACACAGAGCAAGAGTTGCCTACTTGAGAGGATTTTGAAGTAAAGGCCACTGATGAACAGAGATATAGAGAGTGGGGCCTTTTGCAACTACAATTACACACAAGGAGGCATATTAAGGACATGGGCTGTAATTGTCAACATCCTTCTGTTCAACCAATTCTGAATCTGTACCAGTAACAATGTCAAAACATTCTTATCTGGGCCAATGAGAAAATAAACTGGACTTTCACCTCATGGCTTTTTGACAAAAGTAAATTTAGAATTTCATTTGAAAATCGAGGTGCCAGAGAGGCAAACTCCACATTGTTTGAGGTCCACAGTAGTCATTTAGGGAGCACTTAAATCTACTATTGTTGGTTCATTTTATGGGGAAATTTAGAGCCCTTCATGTATTTGGATGCTGACTAAATTCCTTGTTTTTCAGGGGAAATTAAATCAAACAGTTAACGGTTAATACACGTTATTACAATAAAAGCATCACTGTGCCTTATTGACCAGAAAACTCAACATACCTAAAGCTTACAGAGAATCTATGAAGTACTGTCAAGAGGAAATCAGAGTCAACAAGTTGAAAACTATCTACAAGCAATCTGGATTGCTTAACACCTCAGAGGATTCACAAGTTGTACCAAACTCTAATGGAATGACTGATGTAAAGAAAGTCCATGCATACTGAGTCTTTCTTTTTGTGTATTGTACACACATTCTTACTAGGTCAAATGCTTAGCTTTTTGATTCCAAGCTATTATAAACATTTACATAAATAAGTACTTAAGTGATATATCACTCATTTTAAGTTGAATGTTTTCTATTGTTTGATTGAATTAATGAACTAGAACAATATTTTGGATGGTATTCTAATTGATTGAGCTATATCTGTATTTGCCAGGCCCTGCAAGGTCAGCAATTTCACATGATAATATCCTAATCAGGAAACAAATAAAAGGCACAAAGAATGGCTAAAGTTATGGTTTACTTATAGAAACCAGCAGTCCTTGACATAAGTGAATAAGATGATTTTATAAAAAGTATGTTATAACTTTATTGCAATCCTTACAAGGAAACCTTTCAACTTATGGTGTAAAATTACATTGTAATTGGCAAAGACAACATTAATCATGATGTTTTCTTAATATATGTTTAACTATATACACACTGGAACACATGGAAAGACCACACAGCTGGAAGCAATATATCATATGTTACAGTGCAGAGTGTTGAGTGCTGCTACTGACAGACCCGTGTTCAGAAATGTTTAGATGTCTGCAGTAACACAGATGAACATGCAACTGCACAGCTGATTTTTACATCAATTTCCCCTGATTTCATGTGTAAAACAGCAGAATCATCCTGCTATACACCAATTTTATTTTAAGTGCTTTTTTTTTATTAGGCTATAAAATGCATTAATGTGACTCAGAGGAGTATTTATCCATTTCTACTCTTGGGGGTATGCTCTTTGGGCAAACTGCTTTAGTAATGAGATGTGATAGAAAAAAAATGAAGAATTTTACATATGCTGCTAAATCAAATCCTTAACAGGTATTTTTCGCTGGGTCCTATAGCAGCCAGTGTTTTACATGTTAGTGTATGGTGGAAAATGTATAATATACTTAAATAAGTACTTTTATCAGACATGTTTCTTCTCTGTTGTCCCATACCTTCTGTTTAAGCTGCAGTACTGACATCTTGATCTGGAGGAAATCTTCACATGTAGCTGAGCAAGTTCCAGAATTCATTAAATTATCACACTTCTCAAAGAGATGAACTGCTGGGAATGGGAAAATGCTTCAGTTACATACCTTATGGAGAAAATCATCAGAAAGCATATTGAGGGTAAAACATTCAATTAAAATGTAGTTCACTTAGTTGATGTGGTATACATCCAATTTTCAATGATATAAAAAAGGATATTTGGGAAGCTAATATGCAGAAGTCTGCATGAGTCTTGGACTCTAAAGGGATGGTTATATTATTTTTTTGATTTATGCCCAATATTGAAGCGTGGTCTGCGCTATGTTATTCCACGCCACAGTGCAAGAGGGACAATCACAAACTAGCTGTGGGTCTAAATATGGTCGAGGTAGTGAGGAAGTACAGTCAAGTTTGTGCAACAACGGAGGGACATGAGGGCAAAAAACGAGCAGGGATCCTGGTGGAAAAAGGGTCCCAGCGTTCTCGCGCACCTCGCTCTTCTAGCTGGTCCATCTTCACGAGTCGTTTTCCACAATGGCGGTCATTCAAAATAACAAGCTGGTAAGGTACCAAACAGGAAATGTGGATAGTGTAGAGCAGATGTAGATTTGACCAATCAGAGGCCCCTTATCTGAGGCACTGTCTGCAGTCACAATGTTGTTGCATATTTGAAATCACTGTAACACACATGGACATGACCTGGTTTCTGAGTATAAATCAGCCTTTAGCCGTAGCTTATTCGTCTCCGCCAACTTCTCAAACGACTTTGAGTATAATTGTGCGTTCACACCAAACACAAAACCTGCAAAAAATTCTCCAATTTCATGTGTTTTGCTTACCTGACAAATAGCCAGAAATTCACTTGGCCAGTAGACAGCGATTTTATGTAGCATATTTAGGTTAATTTGGAAAGTCAGGCACAGTAAGTGGCATCCCAGAGTCCAGCAGATCCTACAGAGATGCTCCCAGTTCTGGGAGTCAGGATGTGGATGGATCACCACCACTTTCCAAGGTGCTTAAGGTAAGGTGAGACAGTGTTCTTGAGGTCAGACAGGAGCAGAAGGGAAATCAAAACAGAACCTTGGCAGAGAGAGCACCAGACCCGGGTCAATGTGACTGCCTGTGCCTCCCTCTGGAGCTAAGAAAGCACAGTGATAGATCGGAGAAGGACAGCAATAGATCAGAGAAGCACGCCAGGCAAAAAAAGAGTGGGGAGAGGCAAAACCTGAACAGTGTTAGCTCTAGAGGCTAACTGCGGGAGATGGCAGGAGGACAGTGGTACATCTGTGAAACCCGTCAAGCAGAGTGCACCAAAGTGGGGATGGGGCGGCGGCAACTGGCCAGTGGCTGTGTTGTAGGTAACGGAGGACCTAAAACCAATTCCCTAAAGTATTTAATCATTTATCAACATTCTATTCTCTATCTTCCATCTTGATAAAAAAAAGCTTGTCTCCATTGCACTCCTTCACTGTAAGTCACAGCCACGTCTAGTCCCTCATTGTTTTTTGCAATGCGAATTTTAACAACAGTTCAGATTTTTCAACTCCTACAAATTTTTGCATCATGTACACAGGAGCGGTGGCGCTCTCCCTCGGTTGAATTTAACAAAAACATGCCATTTGCCGTGCTTCACCTTGCAGCACTCCAGAGCTGGGCTGAATCTCAAACCGACCCTAAACACCAACCCTGAGCACAACCCGTAATTACTTTGCGTGGCCGCCATGTTGAGGGCCTCCTTTACTCAGACTACTGCCTATGACTACCGCGTACTGTACTCCCTCTCAGCCATGTTTTAATTTGATTAATTTCACCTTTAATTGATTTCAACCATGGTAAACCATTGCTGTATTGCGCAACACATGATCGCCATGGGAAAACATAGAAAATGGGTTAACTTTCCACCACGGAGACCAAGTGTCAGAGATTAAGAGTCGTCGGCTAGCTTGGATCGCGGCTGTAAGACGACCGAACATAACTTTCCACAGTATCCCGATGTCAATGAGAGTATGTTCCCTGCATTTTCATTCTGGTAAGTTAAAGATGCACAGTTTTATTATACAGCCTACATTGTTTCTTTCCTTCAAGGTTGGGATCTTTGACAGGAAAATAATAAAAACGGCAGCAGGAAAAGGCTCAAATACGTGAGAAACCCGGAGGGTTGGCAGTTAACGTTACTAACTACACCTTTGAAACACATAGCAGCTACTTAAAAGTATATTACATGCAAGAGTGGTTTTTAGCGCTACCGGTTAGCAATTACTTAACTAGCAGGTTCCAGAGCCCGTCTAAGCACAGCTTACCTTTGTACGGATTACTGTGTTCCCACTGTTTGCTGGCTTTATGATCTGCAGCTCCTGAACCCATCCATTCATGAACTGCACATGAGACTCCAAGGACTTGCAGCTTGGGAACTGCTTTGAAGTATAGGCGCTCACCCATCGGTGCTCCACTCATTGTTTGGAATTTCATATGGATCCAAACTATTAATAATGCTGATTTTGTCAACATACCGGTCCCTGGCCTCTCTATTTAATGTGTCCCAGTAAATTCCAGACCCTTTTTGGGATTTTAACATCTTATTTCTCTCTACTTCTACGTCTCTTCTTTCAACAACAACGTTGTATCAGAGCTATGTTTACGTTCGCGTAGCCCTCAATATGGCCGCCACGTCCCACAATGCAACACGGATCCCGAGCCCTATTGGCCATTCCTGCAGAGGTTCCGCCACAGTAAAGGCCATCCCAAACCATGTAGTGGGTAGGGCGAGTGGACCATTCAGCCCTTAAATAGCGAGTCTGCGTCAATGCAGGCTCATTGGCATTTGGTAGTCAGTGTAACGGCAAAATAGTGGCAGATGAAACACATGCATTCAAATGTAAGTTGCGTGGGTTGGCTGCATCTTTTTCACACTGACAGAAAATCAGATGCTGCTAATCCCTAAATGGAAGGTCCTCTTTGGAATAGATTGTTTTAACTGTAAGAAAATGGCAAATGTTTTATGTAATGTTATCCTGCGTTACAGAGCAACAGTCACGCACATGCTCTGTGTTGCCATAGAAACAACTGTTTTTCCTTTCCCTTTTGATGCTGTCACGTTTATACCCCCCACGTACAATCTAGGCGTCTTCCACAGCTGTGGGTGTGACTTTACTCTGAGTGACACTTGATAGTTAAGGATTAGTGGTTTAGGTGTAGTTTGGGATTTAGCCCTGCAGTCTACATAGAGATAATATGTAAATTGTCTGCTTCAGCATTTGGTGTGAACGCACCATAACTACTGTTCAGGGAGATGGTTTGGGATAACATTAGCCTTTTAGTTTAACCTATCATTTCCAGTTTATAATATTAAGTTATGTGTTATTATTATAGCTAATAGTTACTTAATATTGGCCAACTTGATAGTGTAAACCGGTGGCCCCCAACCTTTTTTGCTCCACAGACAGATGTCATTCAATATTTTCATGGACCGGCCTGTTGCTATGGTAACATTTAATACGCCTTTAAAAAAAAGCCACCACAAAAACAAAGAGCATGAAAACAGAGTGATAATTACTCACAATAGGAGTGAATCAACAGGAGCCTTGTGTTTTGCTGCAACGTGACGGTGGAGTTCAAGGTACGTACTTACCTACACTGTTTTAGCCTAGTGAATCCAATCTTTTTTTATAAATAAAACGCCATTTAGAATGAAAAAATTAATTTTCTGGAAAAAATGGTAGTAATTTATTCTTTTTGTGCATTCCTGTACCAAATAACACATGGACCCGTACCGGGCCGGGGCCCAGGGGTTGGGGATTACTGGTAGCGATGACATTTTTAGGCTACGTTGGAGTGTTAATACAATTACAGGATAAATTATATGTTATTATTGTAGCAGAAAGAAAAAAAAAAAGTTGATGTATCTTCTTGCCAACCGAACATATTATGATACAATGGCAAAAAACATCAGTATTCCTCTGTATTATTTCCAGTTTTAAATACCATTTTTCTCCATTATTTAAACTACTTTTAACTGATAACTATTTGAAAAAAAAATAGCATTACTGTTTGTTTGTCTTACTTTGGCTGCTAACTTTAAAAGTAATAATAATACGATAATGGATGAGTGCAAAAGTCAGCCTCCAATGTTTCACCCCTATCTTACAGAGCAGCATAACATAAATCAAAATCTCAAGCAGCACGCTTTTCACTTTTTTTTTTTTACTTTCTTAAATGTTATAGCAGGTAACAGAAGATAATCTTATGGGAGGAAGTTATAAATCTGCAGCGCCTCACTGCTTTATTGGCAGAGAGAAGATATTTTTATCGCCTGAATGTTTTGTGTTTTCTCCACATCTATCCGGCAAAATTAGAAGACCAGGAGTCAGAAAGCAGCAGTATGTTTGGGTGCCCAAACTATTTTGACATGCACAGGAGGCAGTGAAGTCTAATGACTACCAGCTGTCTATATTTGTAATGCCCCCCCCTTCTCTATTACACACCAAAAACACAGTGTAGTCTTCTCCACATTGCTGTTTGATGTGAATAATGAAAAGATGTGTAAGCTCACCTCGCTCCCCTTTGGTGCAAGTCTTCCCATCGTCTTCCAGGAAATAGCCTTTCTCACACTCACACCTAAAACTCCCTGCGGTGTTGATGCAGATCTGAGAGCAGGCGCTAATGTTTTTGTCCGCACATTCATCAATGTCTGTGTGTTGAAGTGAAAGAAGGAAGTTACTCAGAAATTGAAAAGAAGAGAAAAATTTGATCAAAATGCATCCACTTAACATAACCACATTAAGCAAAGTAAAAATGAATTAAAATATGGTAAATTAACTTTGCAACTTAGGTTTGTAAATGTATTAATTTGGGGAATTTAAATGCATAGGTAAAATACCCGACTTGTGGATTTGAGAAAGTAAAATTATTCACAATATACAGATTGCTTCAAGCAAAACAAAAGTTGGACAGATAATACATTTTTTTTTTTTACCAATTATCGCTGTCAGACATTTAACATTAGGCTCTGATTATGTGTTACAGTGGAGCAAAGGCGTCTATAAATTCCTTTTCTCTGAATTAAGTAAAAACCAGTTCATACAAACACAATTTGAAAAAATTATATCTGATTACATCCCAGTAACCATGCTAAAGGCTTGCACTTAAGGAAATATATTTTTCATCATCACCATCAATAAAGCTGTCATCTGTAAACACTTGAAAGCCTTAACAAGAGGAATAATAGCAACACCCCCCACCCCAAAAAACAAACATGCTGCAATGTCACCCTGCTGCAGGACCAATGACCCATAGTCTGCATCCTGCTCCACTCCAACGTAGCCATTGTACATAATTCTATTAAAAGCAGTTAAAAACAGTCTGATGGAAAGGATGCTTCATTTTTTTAAGAATTCTTCTTTGTAAATTCACCATCAGAGATATTTGATAAATGTCTAGAGCTGGCCTCTTTATTAGTCTGTTAAACTTCTTTAAGTAATTTGCTCTGATGCTGTTGGCCCAGCAGATGATGACAGAAGAGATCAAACTCTCCACAACTGACTTATAGAAGATATGTAGCATCTTTCTGGATACTCAAAAGGACCTAAACTTCCTTACGAAGTACAGTCTTCTTTTTAGATGGCTTCACAGTTGTGACTCTTGTCACACTTGTTGCCAAATGAACTTCAAGGTATTTTACTCCTCCATAACCTCCAATTCTTCTCCCACGATGATAATATCATGGGAGAAGAAGCTATCATCTCCATGTTTTGTTGACATTCAGGATCAGATGCTTGATTTAAAATCATGCCACAAAGCATTTCACCAGGTCCCTGTCATCAGCTTCTTGTCCATCTCTGATGTATCCAATCACTGCAGTCTTCAGAGTATTCCTGTAGATAACAGGTCTCTCTTGTTTTGCAAATTTGTGGTGTACAGAGCAGTCATTTCTATGTCATGTTTTTGTTCTACCCAGCCACTGAGCCTGGTGATTCCAATCTGTTTTATCTATGTAAATTGAACTCACCAGGTTCAGTGGCTGGGTAGAACAAAAAAATGACATAGAAATAACTTGTTAACTCCAGATCCCCCCCATCTCTGGTACAGAGTAAAAAGAGTATTGTGCCCTGTGGTTCTCCTGTGCTGCTGACTACTTGATTAGACAGTTAACCCTTCAGTCTCAAACTGTGGTCTGTTTGTTAGGTAGTATTTGATCCAGTTGATTGTTGATGCCTGTATCTCTGTCTTTGGGATACGCTGAAACAGTATGTCAGGCTAAATTTTGTTAAATGCATGGAAGAAAGTCAAATAATATGACCCACAAAATGCTGTCTACTTAGTCTAAATGACAGTAGGTTTGTTGAAGCAGGTGTATGATGGCATCTTCAACTCCATTTCCACAATGATGAGCCAACTGCAGGGGCTCCTGACAGCTGCTTGTTTGCTTGCTCAGATGGATCTTCATGATGTTGGATGTCAGAGCAACAGGTATATAGCAATTGAGGACTGGTGGCTGAGTTTCTTTTTTTTTTGGTACAGGATCAAGGCAGGAGGTCTTCCACATCACTAGAACCAACTCCTGTGTCAGGCTAAGGTTGAAGAAGTGATGTAAAATCCCACAGAGCTGCTCTGCACAGCTCTTTATTATTTCTAAACCAAAACACCTAAACAAAAAAACAAACAACAAACCTTCAAGTTATCTATACTGTTTAGAAAAAATGTTGGCTCTTTTTTATTTTATTTTTTTTTATTTTGCTTTTCTGTTATTATTGTTATTAGGCTCAAATTAATATAAGATAATTAACAGCAAAACAATATCTTACTTTTCCTTCTTAATATTTACTATCATTTTCTGTTTCCCCCCCTACAGGATTGCCATTGTATTGTGGTCAGAGTGTTGTGTACCTCAATAACCTAAAGAACTTTACCTGCAGGAGCTTTGCTTCAGGTGGGACACCAAAGCTGGGCAGGTGCTAGGGTAGAGGCAATCAATCTTTGTGGAGTTCGACACAGTATATGTCATTTCATTTTATTTTTATATAATTTACCAAATGATAAATAGGAGTAGGTAATGTAACAACTAAAATAACTGATGATTTTATAGGAGCTGAAAGAAGTATACCCTTACAACTGTCCCAAAAAAAATAAAATTACCACTTCAGCTCTTAAAGACTTTTGCAGACATAATTCAGAAACACACAACAATTACAAACAGAAAATAAAGAAAAATACATAACAAAGAACTTGCTCATTCAATGGCCAGTATTACTTTATAATGGTTATTTTCATAATGCAGAAAAAGTTTTTGATTTGCTTTCATTGTAATGATTTTTAGATAAACAGACATCTTTGATTGAAATGCATCTTTTCATTGTTGCCGTTCTTGATCAATCCTTTTTTTTAATATCAGCTTTTAGCTATTAGCCCAGTTCCATGAAGAAAACGCAACAATCACAACAATAACAATATATATGAAGCATACTGTGTACAGATGAAGATGCCTCCTTTACATTTCTGCCTGTGACAGAGACAATGTTGAGTTTGCATTGGAGTTTGATTAAGTTAAGCATCTGGTATCATTCAGATTTGTGTGTTCAGTTCTGAATTTGTGTCCAGTTCAGTTTAACATGGTAAACACAGGACAGGTTATCTACTTGTTAGGAACACCTGCTGATGAAAGATCAGAGAAACTTTCTGTTGAAGCTAAAAAAAAGCTCTCTACCAGTGTCCTTACAGTATTTAACAAACAAATTATAGAGAGCATGTTAACATTTTGGATCTCCACACGTTAATCCTGCCACTTTATGCAAGAAAAGAGCCTTTTAGAAGACTGCAAGAGGAACTGAAGGAGTCACACTGAAAATGATCAGACTCCTTCCAATGACAGCGACTGTCAGTCACGGCAACATCAAAAGCACAAGAACCAGACTGCTGCACAATGTTCTGCCGCAAGCTATTGAAATACTGCACTGATGGCCTCTGTATTATTGCTGTTATTTGTAATTGTTCTCATTCTACTTTTTTTAAAATCAAGTATTACATTTTTCTGTATTCAAGATTATTTTTTACACTAATCTGTTGGATCGTGCCAAAATAACGTGGCCTTATTTATTGTAACTGTTGGATTTACAATTAAAGTACAATAATACTATACAATAATAAGGTCATTGAATACATAAGAATACATCCTATTAATCATTGGTACATTTGTTTTAGATCTTACCCAGACAGTAGGGCTTCTCTCGATTTCTGTGGCGTTCTCGGTCATAGCGGTAGCCTGAGTAACAAGTGCACACAACGCGACCAAAATGGTCAGTACACTGCTGCTCACAGGGCGCGCCAGCACACACATCATAATCTGGTAAAAAAGATTATAGTATGACTTTACAGCAGGTAACAATAAATACTGGGAATAATCAGACAATCGAGACTCTGAAGAACTTAGATACTTGGCAGGATCCTCTAAGGTGACATTCAAACTTCTTATCTTACCTTCAGGTATGCACTGGCCCATCACAAACTTGAAGCCTTTGCAACATTTCCTCCTGTAAGATATCAAATTGACATTAACAATAAGTTTCTTTGCGGGAAATCTTTTCAAAGGGAAATAAGATCACAAAGCAAAGGGATAGATTAAAAAAACATTGCCTGCAGGTTTCAATAAAATGTCAGCTTGCTCACTATAGTCGTGGTATAAAAGAAAAACTGTACAAGAAAAGTGAGGAGCTCTTCTTTTTTTAATCTATTGGTTAATTTGTTGATCTAAGAAACCTTAGAAGAAACAAAATACCCTATAGTGCATTTTTATAAAACAATTAGGTCATTTGAGAGTTTAGCTTAATGGTTTCTTCCATTCCATTTTAGTCTTATTGCTTGTGTTTTTAATATCTCCCCATTTGACAACCTTAGAGACATGTTACCTTAGTTACATTAGGGTTTAGGAAGAAGTGAGTCAGTAAGAATAAGTGTTGAAATAGGGCTTTTTTTATAACTTGTCACATTTTACAGAAGACACATATACTATACTGTGAAAGATTGACAGCTTGCTTAGTTTGGCACTTTGGTTGCCGATGATAAAATGTTTAGGTGTAACACAAACTAAAAATAAAACTGTCATCAATCATGACAAGTTAGGAGATACAAGAAGTTTTCAACTCAGGACTTTGACACTTCCAGGTAATTATGTTTAACTTCTATAAACAAGTCTAGAGTGACAATGAATTATTAATGTGGCCAGATATACTTTCTCATTAAAAAAGCCCTGTTTTCAAACAAGGGGAAAAAAAAGAAAAGGATAATTTGATCTTTACAATAATAGAGCAATTCAAAATTTTCACATTATTGGTGCTTAAAAAAAAAAATAAAACAAGTTTCAACATTCATTGGTTTAAATATAGTGAGCAGCTTGTGGGTGCTTTTAAATGAACCAGAATTCACTACATTCTTCTGCATTTCGAGAAACGATGCGATCCGCTGAGAATATTTAGCTAGGATAAGCACTTCTCTCAAGTTTGGCAAGGGATTGTGTTGAACAGAGACCCAGTTTGTGAGTTTTTTGCATAACACAGATTCATCTTTCTTTTCTTGGATGCAGGGGACAAAGTTGAGTAATATTAGTTATTCCTTTTCCATGGAGTATAAACTAGCTGGGAGATGTATTGACAGGGCTTGGACCTTTTTTTGAGCCCTTATTTGAATCAAATCCATTATGTCTGTGCTGCATTTATTCAGTAATACATCTATCACCTATAGCTCAATGTTTAAAAAGATCTGTCCCAACTTTTAACTGCTGTATTAAAATAAACTGCTTAAAAAAACGTCAAACTTTTCAGTTTTTTACCCAAAAATTGTGTAAGTTGTTAAATGTGAATTGCAAATTAAACTGGTTGGTTAAATGATAACAAGGTAAAACAGTCTAATATGTTAATCGTAAACATTAATTAAATAATATAAGTTCTTTGATGCTGGAATAAACCCAATCCTCTGCAACTTCTGCTCTCCATATATTTAAAGTACCAATATTTTGGTCACAATATGAGAGGAGAGTCAGGGAAGAGATTAAACAAACAATCTATGGCATAAAAGTGACCTTAAAGTTAAATATCACAATACTTTTTACTGCTTCTCTTCCTAATTCTGTTTCAAAACTTTGCTGTTCACATTTTATAAAATGTTTATTGCCATAACAGAGCAGAGTCAGAGAGGAGATGGACCAGATACCAGCAGCAGGGAGAATGATGTAGGGTCTTTATAGGTAGATACTTTCCTGAAAATATGTAGTGCAGGGAGAAACCAGGCAGGTTTTAGGAAAAGTTATTCATAGATTTCACAGGAAATGTAAAGTTGAATACAAGAGACTGATAAAAAAGCTCCCAGCTCTAAAACAGCTTTTTTATTGACCTTAAATATTATTAATTGAAAGTCAAAGAAACAAAATATTCAGAATAAGATTTAAAATACGAGACAAGAAATGATAAATAATTATCCTGTGGACCAATACACAAATGAAAAAAACATCTCCCTATTTTCAAAACCCAATTTTGACAACTATGGTGTTCTTATGAGACAATAACTCGCTTATTTAGTGACCAGACTTAAACATTTAGGCATATTAAGCTCATGTTCAAACACAAAAACCTAAACTTGGATTCTACGTCCCTCTAACTTTGAACGAAGGGATCAATTTCTTGGCATAGTTGTCCGATACGATTTTCTGTCGGATCAAACACAAAATCGGATTCGGTTCAGGGCTTTATACACTCTGTTTGGTTCAGCAATCTTTCCAGACAGAGCTGTCTTTCATTGTGATACAAAACATTAATTACAGAGGAAAAGATGAGGGACAGAGACAAAAAAATGTGCAGTTGAGTCCTAAAGTGTGTAAATAATAAATCAAGACGATTTCCAACAAAATGATTGAATATATATTTCATAGTAGGGTTAAAAACAACCGGAGGGAGAGATACAGTGCTAAATGGCTCAGGTGTAAGAACAAGCCATCCATTTATCCATCAATTTTCCATCACGTTTTATCCTTGCTGGTGTTGTGAGGGGTGCTGATGCCCATTTCCGGCTGTCAATGGCCGATAGGCAGGGTACACCCTGGACAGATCGCCAGTCCATGGCAGGGCAACAAAGAGGCAAACAGACAAAAAAAAACATTCACGCACACAATCACGCCTAAGGAGAATCTAGAAAAGCCAATTAACCTAATAGTCATGTTTTTGGACTGTGGGAGGAAGCCGGAGTACCCAGAGAGAACCCATGCATGCTCAGAACATGCAAACTCCATGCAGAAAGACCACGGGCCGGGAATCGAACCCGCTGCAAGAACAAGCCACTTCAATTAAATTGTGCTGATGAAAGTAAGGTAATATATTAATTGATATATCTTATGTGCTCTATGGTTATATGGCAGAAACATCTTACCACAGAAGTATGATAAATGTATGACATGTTTGCTACATTTAACTGGCTCTGCAACAACCTCGGACCGACCATATCCCCCACACTTTTGAAAAGCTTGAGACGCCCCTGAATAGCTCTATGTTTTAAACTAGAAAGGTAGTTAATCACAGTTACACACAATTTTTGCATAGCCATTTAGTTGGTATGGATAGCTTTCAACCCTTTATCTATTGTAAACCTTTGAACCTTCTAAAATGAAAGGAAATTGAACATTTTTGATTTACTCAGATTACTCAGGGAAGTATGGAAGTACAAATACTTCGTTACTGTACTCAAGTAGATTTTTCTGATATTTTTACTTTACTACTTATTTTTATGGTGACTTTTTACTTCTACTCCTTACATTTTTACACAAATATCTGTACTTTCTACTCCTTACATTTTAAAAAATTGGCTCGTTACTTTAGTTTTGAATCATTTCAATGGAGTTACCGTTATTATTTTTCACGTCATCAATACCAAATTCAATCTAATTGGATGGGAATCTACGTTGCATTTGACGCACATCTACAAGATGAATCGACAGATTTGGCGGTATTCATTCGCGGCAAATCATTGCAGCTTGGTGCCGGTGGTGTTAGCATAGTAGTATGGACGACGAGATGATTGAAAATGAACACAACGGAGATCTAGTCCTATTGGCAGACATCCATTTAAAATGTAGGCAATGGCATGAAAAAAGTGATTTCTACTTTTACTTTTATACTTTAAGTAAATTTACAAGCCTGTACTTTGTTACTTTTACACGAGTAAAGAAGTTTAATCAGTACTTCCACTTTTACCAGAGTATTTTTTAACACAAGTATCTGTACTTTTACTCAAGTACGGAAAGTGAGTACTTTTGCTATCTCTGCTCAGATTACATTTACATGTATTATATTTGCAAAACTAAAAATAATAATTTGATTTATTTAGATTTTATAAAAAAAATCCCAATGTTATTGTAATCATAAAATAATCTGTAAAGCTCCCAGAGAGGCATTAGCCCCATTTACACTACCCCTCTGAAACCGACCCGTGCAGAGTTCAGACTGAGCTTGGATCAGTTGGCCATGCTGAGCTTGGTTCTTTACAATCGTTTACACATCATGCCAGAACGGTTCCTCACACCCTTGTGTTGATCTACGGTACTACTGCTAGGATTGAAGGAGGGAATCATGCAAATCAAAATGGCGGCATGCGTAACATTCAGGACATTATGTTTGATTATAATTGTGATATTTCGTTATATGCAGAGAGTCAGGCCAAGAATTGGTCGCACCATGCTATTTTAATGCCATTTTATGAAATGTAGTCTTCATAAGATTTTGATTGTTGTTTACAGTTCTTCTTCTTCTGTTCTGTGGTGGTTGTCAAGCAACTTACTGATGTGCATTACTACCAACTACTGGAAGCTGACTGTTAGGAGATGACGTGGTCTGCTCAGGCACTCTTTGTTATCAGAGACCTACTGTTGAACTAGTTCTAGTTTAGCACGGTTCGGTTGTGTCTGGCACGGTCCAGTTCCATTTACACTCAACAGTTATCTCGGTTACTGTGCTGGGACAACTCTCGGCACAGTTCCAGCACATCTGCAGAAAGCTAAACCTTTATAAATTCATACAAATACTTTTTGTCACAATAAACTGCCCATCAGAAAACATCTTCAAATCAAACTGTTTGTGATAGAGTTAATGTGGCCAGGCATTAGCTGGCAGTTACACACTTCCCTGAGCAACTCGTAGTGTCAGTCCCACTCATTGCCGTGGGTATGTACACCTTCTTCACTTTTTTTTCTGAAGCTACAATGCAGATTAGTTACTCCTTTTTATCTTATGACATTACAAAACAAGGAGTATAGGGAAGTGGTACTCATAGGAAATCCTAAACATCTGCAGACAGCAAAAGGCAGTATGTGGCTTATAGGCACAGCACACACCACTCTCTGGGAGCTTTTATGCTTTTCAGAAGTTACAGTGTTGTTTTATCCAATATTTCATTGCCAGATTTTGATCATTTAGTTTGAACTCAGACCTGCCCTGCTCCACTTTAAAAAGATGACGAAAGTGTCCAATCAAACACTGAAAAACTCTGTAAT